AGCTAAGAGACGTGAATGGTGGAAATGGTGACATGACTCAAGCGGTCGCAAGTTGAAGACGCGAAATGCCATCCGGAAACTACGCGGATCAGATGCGCCCGATGGCGCTAAGGAAAGTAATTACTGCCGAGCCCGCGCCTCTTCTCTGTCGCGCATTTTTAGCCCTGACACAGCAAAAACCTCCATGTTTCAATCAGACTCTATCTAGAGCTCCTCTAAATCAATATTAAACTCAAGCGGAGATGGACTCTTCTCTCCTGCCGACTGGCCGAGCCAACGGCACGCCTCGAGCCGTGGGGTGGTTGAGGAGATACGGGAGTCGATTACACCCTCGTTTCAGGGCACGGTACTGCCATGAGAGCCAGCGAAGTGGGAGAATCCTGCTAGAAACGAGCTACGAATTCTTTGCTCCGAGATCACTGAAAGACCGGGGTGGTGGTCTTGCGATACACAGCGAGTTCACCTTCGGCTGTCTGCCAACCGCATATAATCAGCCTTTAGCTTTAAGTTCAAAGCTCACGCAAATTGACTGGTCGCTTCTACATTAAGCTGCAGTGAAAGCTGTCCCGTGTGGTGCTATTGCACGTCCCTCCGTCGAGACGCACTACATGCCAGCGCTGGTGCTGGTGCTGTGGTCAGGGCGAAAAGAATCCATCGTATCCACTGTAATTCATGTCTACATTTGTATTACAGCTTCTGGGGTACAGCTACTTGCTGCTCACGTGGTTAGTATTATAGAAGACATGAAGCAAGAAGCTCTGATGATAAGAGAGCAATCGCTCTTGTTCTATGCGCTTATTGACATCGACTTCCTTCCACCAGGATCTTGGTTTGGAAGAGTTGACGGCAAGAATTTATTTGACTGAGAGATATCTACACGATGCTGAATATTCGTGCTTTATAGTAGAAGTGGGCTCGCAAATACTGGCCCGGTGTGCTCATCTCGTGCGTAAAGATATTATGTATGTATGAGCAGTGTGCTTGCTCCGGTATTGACAGGAGCTTCAGTCATGACACCTCAGATGGAGAATGTAGCAGTAGTAAATGTCAGAATCCTGAACTACTATACTAGTAGGCACTGGCAGAACTTCTTGATTCTACAGCGTAATAACAGAGGACTTGTGGCCTCGCAAGCTTCCATCAGCAAAAAAATCGGTTATAGATCAGGGATGAGTTGCCAGGCAAGCGCCTAACAGGATGGCGAACGCTGGCAATGCAAGGACACGCGATACCTGACTGGTATTGCATTGCAAATCGTAACTCAGACCGGTATGTTATTATAAGTTGGATCCTATCCTGATACCACTAAACACGACATGAGTCGCTCGCCCAGATCTCGGTTATGACATGACGTCACCCGTCTCGCTTTCCGAGACGTGTTTCTCGCCGCCCATCGCATCCACGCCGTCTGCCCACTAAGATTCCTTCGACCTCCCCTAAAGTCACTCCCGGCGAGTTTCCTTTTATGAAACTGCATATATAGAAGGCGTCGATGGTCTTCCGTTCTCGCCGCTTCTTCCTCCTGGTCACCACCATACCCCGCCTCTGCTTACTCCCTCCGAACGGTATCTCCGCCGTGTCTCGCTAAGCTCAATATGTCACAAACGT